ACTACTGTCCGCTGCGCAGGATGACGTGTCCCACTTACGTTCAGTGGCCATGGCTATGATGCTCTCTGTGGTGACGTGCTCGTCGTCCTCATCCATCAGTCCATCATTGCTGTCATCTGCCAGTACGTCGTACTGGTCTAGGAGCTCCTGCAGCGGGGGAGCCTTGGGCAGGAGCTGCTTGATCACCTCCCGGCTGATGTTGGGTGCTTGCCTCAAGCGGAGCTTGCTGAGAATCTGGCTCTTGATGGCCTGCAGCCTGAGCAGCTTGCTCTGCTCTCTAAACTCGCATGTCGGGCACTGCTCGCTGTTTTCCGTGCCTCCGGAGGACTTGGGGGCTGTGATATCGCTTAGACCTACTGGAGAAAACGCAACCAAGAGGCCCAGGTAGATCAGCCACTGTGACGGCTGCATGTTCCCGGTTCGGACTCGTGTGTATTTCAGGATTACTGGGCACCGTGGAGCTCTCAGCACCCCCAAAAGCGCTCCCGACTGTCGTAGGTGTCATACTAGCCGTCAGCGCGGGTTTTTATAGCGCACCTAAGGATTCTCCATCGTGTCGTCAGATTATACGATTGGCTGGCGAGCAACAATGAATCCAGCGCTAAGGCAGTAGATAAATTTCTCTATTACTCTTAAAGAAGTATTGGAACAACAAATTTATTTTATTGGGCACCTGCTGAATGTAAATCAAAAGGGGGGCATTTTTCAGCGTAGATTCACTTCCTAAATACTTAAATTCTTAAAGTACCCTACCATTCAGTGATGCACCGAGCCAGAAACGCTGCTTACACTTCACCCTAATATTTAATAAAATAATACGTGGTGTATTTTTTTCAGTCAGCTGTAATCCAGCGAAGTATTTTGATCTCACTTAATGGTATTTTAATTCAAATTTTCGGGCAGTTTAAGAACAGTAAAATTCATAGCTGTTTTTTCAAAGCATGGAGTAATTAGTGTTCATGCAGTTGCTTATTTTTAGAGCACAAAATGTTCTGATTGCAGAAATATTCGCCATCGTTTAAAAAATCAGGTATATGTTCTTATTGTGATGTTACGTAACATGATTTAATAGTACAATATTTCATTATAAAATCTTTTAAAATTATTAGACTGTCACCTGTTGATTCATTTTGAAATCGTTATGCCGGATTGGGTAAACTGACGAAGTCTGCTCTTACTTATGTTATCATTAAATGCATTTATTTTGATCTGACCTCCAATCATCTCTAAACCAGGTGTTTATAATTTTTCTTTAGTATAGAACTAAACTTTTGTGAGATTACTTTCTATCTGTAAATAGTTTTACATGCTATATAGGGTTAGATTTAGTATAGATATAGTTTTCCTATTTTGTAAATATAAGTATTGTGGTTGGTTTATATCACTTCATTTTTGGCTAGTTTTTATTGCGTAGAACGCGGCACCCCAGTCGTAAAATAACTTTTGGAGGATAATTCAAAGAAATCTTCTTAGTTTGTTCCACATATGCGATATGCGAATATCAGAGACTTGCATGAGATTGGAAAATGCCAGAAATACACTGTCTTACAGTTCTCCCTAAAATGTGAAGGGCGAGTCGCTGTTTTTTTCCACAAAGATGGGTTTTTCGTAGTTACAAAGCAATTTCTATATTACATAATTCTTGAAGAGGATGTGACGCAGAATACCAGCAAGAAATAGAGCGAGAGAACGAAAACTTAACAAGAAACAGAAATGACGATTATAACTGAGACATGAGATACAAATAGCGATTATTTAAAATATTTGAAGTCACTGTCTTCACGGAGACAGATGGGAGAGAAATAAGGGACCAGCGGTCTGCTATTACTCCCGTCTTACTACTGTGCTACTTCTACACTCCAATGAAAAAGACGCATGTCGCCCTCTTGTGTCAACCGTCATTTCACTTGGGTCACCGTCTTTAATTTTTATTTCTCTTCACTGTCCCTCCTTGTTCTAAATCCATCCAACCGTCCGTCCATTTTCCTTACATTTTCCTTAGTCCTATGCCGGGTGAATAACCTAGTGCCGGGTGTCCTGAATCCACTGTAGCAACATTTATTATTCAAGATTCAATATTTTTATTTGTCATATACAGTTATATAAGTGCAATTTGCAGCAAAATTAAAATCTGGCTGCTCTTTGGACTGTGAAAAAGAAATTGAAATACATTTAAAATAAAATGCAACAATATATAAGACAGGGTGAAGGTGCATAGAATATGATTAGGCATGTGTGTAAAGACTGCAAAGGAGAAAGCAGAATGCAAGTGGCAAAATAATAAACCAAGGTGTGCAGATTGCAATGGACATGGAATGTTATGGTGATGCATGATGGAAGAACAGACAATCCATGTTGCAGCATAAAAGAAAAGGGAATTTTATTATAAGAATAAACAACAAGAAACTAAAGAGACCATGAGGGGTAAAACTGAGGCAGGTGGAAAACAAGAACTAATTAGACTATAACTAACACAAGGGAAAACTAACAATAAAAACTATTTTGGGGAAATACAGGCAAGTCAGATATCAAGGAGCCAGCAAAAGCAGCATCACAGGAACAAAAACAGAGCAACAACAGGTACATGCAAACAGGGAAAACAAAGAACCAACAAAAATGACATCAACGCAAGAACAAAGGGAAAACAAAACTCATAATCTCCAATAAAGCTGCAGTTGGCTTCTGACCAGCCACAAACCTATGATGGTAGGGGGCACAGTTGTAAGCTGCATGCGTAGCCCATTCAGATATACAGTGGCCCAGGAAGCCCAAAGTTACACACCAGGGAAGAGAACAATGCCAACCTCGGGAATCATTGGGAAAATGGGATGCCCAGGACATCTGCTGGCCAAACAGGAGATGAAGAACTTAACAGGGAAAGACAGGGATCAATCATGTGTCAATACATATCTTTAGGCTTGTCCAAGTTGAGATTCCAGATAGCTTGAGAAGTAATCCAGCAAACTATAGGCCAATCAGTTTAACTAGCATTACTGGAAAAATAATGGAAGCTATAATTCAAGTGAAAATGGTAGATTACCTAGATGCAAATAACATTATAAAGGATAGCCAACATGGATTTAGGAGAGGTAGATCCTGCTTAACGAATCTACTTGAGTTCTTTGAGGAAGCTACAAGTGAAATTGATCACAAAAAGGCCTATGATGTGATTTACAGTACTTAGATTTCCAGAAGGCCTTTGAT